CCCCAAAACCCCAAAACCCCAAAACCCCAAAACCCCAAAACCCCATTATTCAAACTACTGGTTGAAATTTAATATTCAAGATATGTAAAAAAGGAAGCCCGTAACAGGAACGTACTCTGAAATTTTAGCTGAAATTATAGCAGATAGCTGACCAGGAATTAGAAAATAGAATTAAAGTTTGCTTCTACTGTGTCAAGGAATTCAAAAGTGTTCAGATATTCAGATCTATCAACATCTGTAGTGCCCTTGATGGTGATAGCTAGGTCTTTCGTCATTTTGCCATCCTCAACGGTTTTAATCACTGTACTCTCTAATTTTTGACAGAAATTTAAGAGATCGTCGTTTTTATCATGCTGAGCTCTCGCTGTTAGTCCTTTAGTCCATGCGAAAATACTTGCAATAGAGTTAGTAGAAGTCTCTTCTCCATTCTGATGGAACCTGTAATGCCTTGTAACAGTTCCATGAGCAGCTTCGCTTTCTATCACTCCTTCTGGATTGATAAGGACACTACTCATAAGTCCAAGTGATCCATAGCCTTGGGCTACAATATCGGATTGGACATCACCGTCATAATTTTTGCAGGCCCATACAAGACCTCCTGATCCCTTAATGACTTGAGCTACCATATCATCAATGAGTCTATGTTCGTACCATAAATTCTTTTCTTCAAACTTTTGCTTATACTCTTGTTGGTAGATCTCCTCGAAGGTATCCATGAATAATCCGTCATATTGCTTCAAAATGGTATTCTTACTCGTAAGATATAAAGGGTAATCTCTGTTCAAGGCATACTCAAAGCAAGCCTTTGCAAAAGATTCAATAGATTTCTTAGTATTGTACATTCCTAAAAAGACTCCTTCACCTTCAAACTTATACACATCTTCTGAGATTCCTTCTGAGTTAGGATTTTCTGGCTTGAAGCCAAGGCTGAAAGTTCCAGGTTCTTTTATATGGAAATCTCTGGCTTTATACTGATCTCCAAAAGCGTGCCTTCCAATAATAATTGGTTCATGCCAACCTGGAACATATAAGGGAATATTCTTAATCATGATAGGCTCTCTGAATACAGTTCCATTCAAGATATTTCTGATTGTTCCATTTGGACTAAGCCACATCTTTTTAAGGTTAAATTCCTTAACCCTAGCAAGATCTGGGGTAATCGTAGCACATTTGACTGCAACTCCCTTCTCAAGTGTAGCATGAGCTGCATCAATAGTGACCTGGTCCTCTGTAGCATCTCTGTTCTGGATGCTTAAATCGTAATAATCCAATTTAAGATCTAAATATGGATGGATGAGCTTCTCCTTGATCTGTTGCCAAATAATCCTGGTCATTTCGTCTCCATCCATTTCGACAATAGGGTTAGCTACAGCTATCTTTCCTCTGTTAAGACTAGAGAATGATCTGCTAGCTCCTAACAAACTTGGAGTTGCTATTTTCCTAAAATTCTGAAAGTGGATTAGTGACTTAGCCAACATTTATATTTATCAAATTTATTTGTTATACTGGGGTTTTGGGGTTTTGGGGTTTTGGGGTTTTGGGG